TTGCTTTTCCAGGGTACATTTTGCAAACGCATTTTTGGTGCTTTTTTCTACATTTATTTCACAATTTAATTAATCCTGGGTTTCATGGGTTCTGCCTGCGGAAGACCGACTTAACTCTAGACTCTAGCAGCACCCAAATGTCATGTATGCGCTCATGCAAGAGTACCGTTAACGTGCATGAGTATGTACAAATGTGTATACACACACACACATGCACACGTGCCCTCAGGTCTCTGGAATCTCTGTTCGCCCCGCACTGGAAAGAAGTGCCCGCTTGCTCAGTCGTTTGAGTTTTGCTTTGGGCGTAGTCTTGGGATAATTCAACAGCTAAGGGGTTGGGGAGCAGGGATGAGGAAATCCGGAGATTTTCCGGAATGCAACATCGTACTGATACCGGCCGGGTTACAAGACCCTGCCATATTCGGGACGGGTGTTTGCAAAGCGGAATTTCTGCTGTCCGTCTGCGAAGACTTCACCGCTGCTAGTCGAACTGCTCGCTGCTGGTTTAACAGCAGTTCACAACTTGGGCCGTTGACTTCTCCACTTCTCCTGTGTTCCGCCTCTTTCCATGTTTGCTTCGGCGGCAGGAATCGGGGAAGCCTATCTGCAAGAACTCCGCGCGGCGGGAATCGACCCGGCCTGCCTGCCATCTACAAGAAGTGACCCTCTCAGAAGTCCTCCCTGGGCTCTCAAGCTGGAGGGTGGCTGCAAGTGTTTTCGATTCCCTTGCTTGAGTTATGTGCCCTATGCCCCCTCTTGAGGGGGACTTCCGGAAGGGATTTTTAGAAGGCAGTGATGGCCCGAAACGGGCCTGTTGCGGGCCTATGAGCAGGGTGAAGAGCCCTCAAGATGGGGGTGCCCGGTGTCTGGGATGCACTTAATAATGACCTGCTCCTCCAGACTTGCGATAATCTCTTCGAGATCCCCCGCGCAGATGGAGTTGAGCTTCAGGCATCGACTTGGGGACATCGAGCCCACCTACGCTGTTTCAAGCTCGGGCCTACGGGCCCTCCGATAGATCCTTGTGTCTTAATCAGTGTTGCTCGCCCTTCTTCGGTCTGTGCTCTGCCTGCCGCCAGAATGCAAAGCCACAGTGCTCCCTGTGGGGCTCGAGGATGCGCCAGGTGATGGTGCCGCGGGCATCGTAGCTGCTCAGCTCTCACACGGTGCGACAATCGTGATAATTATAGGAGGTGAGACCTTCCGCGAAGGATTACAAACCTCGTAAACGCTTGAGATGCCCTCCTTGAGCTGCTGGCCAGAAGCTCCTAAGGAGCTGAGGTCCCTTGGCGAGCTCTCAGCGCTTTGGAAAATTGCATCTCACCGTGCATGCGAGTTGGCCAGTGGGACTGGTAGTGGTGGTCGTAGTAGTGGTCTAGTGGTAGAGGTTTGGTGTTGGTGGTGGTCGTCGTCGTAGCAGCAGCAGCAGCAGCAGCAGCAGTAGCAGTAGGAGCAGGAGCAGGAGCAGGAGTAGGAGCAGGAGGAGTAGTAGTAGTAGTAGTAGCAGTAGCAGCAGCAGCAGCAGCAGCAGCAGCAGCAGCAGCAGTAGTAGTAGTAGTAGTAGTTGTTGTTGTTGTCAGCAGTAGTAGTAGTAGTAGTAGTAGTAGTAGTAGTAGTCGAGGAGGAGGAGGAGGAGGAGTAGGCGTAGGAGTAGGCGTAGGAGTAGGCGTAGGAGTAGGCGTAGGCGTAGGATGAGTAGTAGTAGTAGTAGTAGTAGTAGTAGTAGTAGTGGTAGTAGTAGTAGTAGTAGTAGTAGTAGTAGTAGGAGTAGTAGGAGCAGCAGCAGCAGCAGCGGCGGCAGCAGCAGTAGTGGTAGCGGCGGTGTTTGCAGGAAGAATACGAGTAATCGAAGCAGAAGCAGAAGAAAAACTAGCATGGTCCAGTCCTAGTGGTTGCTGAACAGCTCTTGCGATGGTCACTCCATCTGTGCTACTTGTTATTACTGTTGTTTTGGGTGCGTGTTGCTGTGCCTGCACATGTGATTGTTGTTGTGGTGGCTGTCGTGATGTTCATCAGAGTTGTTGCTGCAGAGGTTGCCGTTTGGGTTGCATTTGCTGCTGTTGCAACATGGCGCAAAAGAAGCTGTTGTTTCTGTCATTGGCCTTCCGTTATTCTGTATGGTTGCCGCAATCTGTCGCCGTTTGGTCCTGTCGGTCGCTCGTCGCAGTCGTCCGTGCCGTGCCAAAAACTGTCTCTGTCTCTGTCTCTGTGTGTGTGTGTGTGTGTGGTATGTGCGCGTGCGTGTGTGCGTGTGTGCGTGCGTGCTGTTGACATCGAAGTGGGTGAGGAGGTGGCGTTTGTTCATGTCCCTATGGATCAATTTGCGCGCGTTAATTATAGGCTCATATTTGGTTCGGCCGATCTATTTGCTTAGAACGTACTGCAGGTCAGGCCAGCTGTAGTGAATAGAAAATCGCCTCTGAGTTTGAGGCCGTGGGTGCCACCTGGCCTCGGTAAATGAGCTGTCTGGGAATTGTCAAGTTGCCCTTCGTCGAGGCCCTCTTCTGTCGCCAAAGTTTGCCGAAGGCCCTCGTCTGGGCTATTCAATTGAAGTGCTCCCCCTTGCGGCGATGATGACAGCATGATGATGATGATGATGATGATGAGGATGATGATGATGATGATGATAGCGATGACAGTTTTCGTGGCAAACCCGGTGCAATCATTCTGCGGCTAAAGCATGAGCAAACACTCGCCAGACTCACCAGGATCTTGAAAGACATGCCCAATGCGTCGGTGACCGTCACGGAAGCCCGGGACCGGGCAGGCAGACAAGGGGGTTCGGCTTGAGTCTTCAGAGCTTACGTTCTTTTGGAGTGGAGCGTGTTGTGCATGGGATGTGTCACCTGCCCTTCTGGAAGGGAAGCATAATCGTGAAAGTGCAGTCCTCGCGTCGACATGTAGAATGTAGAGTCGGAGGTCTAGGATGCTTCCTGTTTCCATTTGCGTCCATCCTACGTCAGTCTGCAGCCATGATCTTGGTACTTGCTTGAAGTTCTAAGCTTCGCACAAGTCTTGGACATAAATGAAGCAGCAAACTCAACACATCTTACATCTAGATTCGATCGGCCTGTTTGACGTAGAAGGTAGCTCGTGACTTCAGTGATGAAGCTGGGAGCCGAATTTTGCATTCGGCCCATACCCAGAAACTGTACACACTCCTAAAGTTTGTATAAATGGAAGGAGGTGGAAGAGCAGCACACAGCCATCTACAGCCCTGAAGTAAGATCGCAGTTTCGACAGCAACTTTTCATAGCATCGCCAGGCGGAAATATCACCACGATGACCGGCAACGGGCGCCTCTGGGAAGAAGGCCCGGCTGGTGCTATTAGGGTCCAACTCTAAGACTCCAAGGGGTTAGGGATGTTTTAGGGGCGACTGCCCGTTGGCTTCGATGCCTGCAGGGTCGAAAGTTTAAGTATGCCCTGTGCCAGCACTTGCTGTTTCTTTTCGGGCGGGTGGACCATGTTATTGCTCGCGTGCGGTGCCGCTTACTGCAAAGCTCCATCCCGAAAATGGGATGATGCTTAAGCTCGAAGAAACCCGTCCTAGAGAAGACCCCGTGTTCCCAGAGCGGCGTGCCAGGACCTAACTCTTTCCAACCTGGGGTGCCTTGGTAAAGCAAGATGAACTCAAGTGAAGGTCTTTTTGAAAGCAGAAGCAGTCAACTCGCTCATGTCCCGCGTGCCCTCGGTGTGACGCCGGCAATGCACTTAGGATCCGATTCTGGCCACTGCGTGTGACATGGCAGAAGCTGAAGACGAGATACTTCATGATGAATACCTGGAGTGTCGGCAGCCACTTCTACAAACCTTTAATACAGCTGCAAAGAGTTGGGAGAAGAGTTGAAGCATCGACAATGGCTCACGCCGGAGCCTGTGCATGCATACCATCTTCAGAGAATCGGCATGTCACGAGGGGTTCAGAGGAGTCTGGTAGCAGTGCTTCCTGAACGGTCGGGCATTCAAACGAGGGAGAGGAGTCATCCCAGCCTTGCGACCAGTCGAGCTATTCACAAGTCAGGCGATGTGGGCCTGCAGCTCCTTGTCTCAGAAAGTCGCCGAAGCAAGTTCCGTTTGTTACTTCAACGAAGTCAATTGAAGCATGTTGCCAATCACATGTGCAGCAGTGCGAAAGCAAATGCGCTATGCCTTCCCCAAGTGTCCTGGCGACGGGACACTTGGCAATAGAGCAGTGATGTCCCACAAGCTGTGCATGACGCCGCAATCCTTGCAATTTGTTCTGGCGGTGCAGCCAAGGAATGACATCATGCTGGCCGACCCAAGCAGTTACCGATTTGTCTGGTGGGAGGCCTTGCATGCGCTGCATTTTCGGTTGCCAAGTCGACACACCCAGTCAACAAAGCGGCCAACGTAAGGTTGGCGGGGCCGTGAATTAGGGCATGCCGTCTGCACTTGAAGGAAGGAAGGAAGAGAGCGAGAGAGAGAGAGAGAGACTCAAAGCCCCATAACATATGGGGGGCCTTAAGGGCCGGGGGACCTAAACAGCTCCCTATGCCCTGGCGAAGAAGAGCGAGAGAGAGAGAGAGAGTGAGAGGCAGGGCCAAACCACGGTGAGCGCGGGTGGGTGAAAATTTCGAAACGAAAAGACTGTTGTATGATGTGCCAGATAGTGCTAGTAATTGTGGGCTTTGTAGCAAAGTGCTGCCTGCACAGGGCGCCCTCCGAGCACTCCCGGCCACTCCTGCAGATGCTGTTTTCGGCGACTTCCTGTCTCTACCGGGCAAGATCAGGCCGATACCTTGATGTCTTGGCTTTGGCAGCCACTGGAACCATCTGGAACCTAGAAGCCTGCAAGTCCCCTGAACCTGGCAAAAGCGCAGGGCCGGGCTGGGGGCGATCGGCATCAAGGACATCTATCATCATCTATCTCTGCGGCCTCCATGATACCGCGGCTCTTGGGAACTGCCTTCGACGCACGGGGTCCTTTCACAGATCCTGTGCCGAGCAGGTATCACTGATGTCGGGATGCCTTCCCGATCCTTCCCGAAACTAGGAAGACGGAAAACCCCCCCCCCCCCTACGCCCAGACATTGATCTTGTTTTTGCTGCGGGTCGCTCTGCTCCAGGACCCGATGCCAGCGCAAGAGGAGTCGGTGAAGGATTTCGTTACGCGGAATTTGGGGGAAGAGGCTGCTGCTTCGGGCATGAGGTTCTAGCATTCCGGGCCCAATGCTTGAGAAGATGAAGTGCCTTTACTCCTTGAAGCCTGCCGACTACATCCACTAAGGAAAAGGATCATGTGCTCAGCTCTTGGGTTCAGCTAGAGCACTGCTAGAGCTTATGGGGACGTGGTAAGGAAAGGTGCGACTACATTCCAAGCAGTTTGATGCAGCTTGATGTGACGCTTTCCCCATCCTTGCGTGTACCGCTGCTGTTTCGGCCCGTGATTCTCTTCCGTGCACCGTGCCAGCTGCAGCCAATGTGCACAGTGCATCTTGCCTGGGACATTATCCTGAGCCCGCGTGTTGCAGGAGTGTCTGTGTTGTCATGCACGATGGAACCCTCGTTCACCAGTGACTCAGGTTAGAATGGATCGCATGTTGCCGCCCTCTGGCGTGCCGAACCAGCAGGGATGCCCAGTCAGGAAAAGTCAGCAAAGGATTTCGATAACCACCTCGCACGTGGGAGCAGCAAACGCCAGCAGAAACTTCTTGGCGAGTTGGACAATTGTGCGGTTGCTGTTTCGATTCACGTTTTTGTTTCGGTCTAGAGGGCACGCAGGTTTGATGCATGTTCTCTGAGCGGCTGTAAATAGCATGTTGTTGAACTTGCGGCGCAGACCACCTACCCCCCACCTACACACAGAGAACTTATAACTTAACCTATACAGTTTATACTGTCTAGCACACCGCTTTCCAGGAATCGTTTGGCAAGCGGGATATGTTCAACAACGTCAAAGGCAGAAAAAACCCTTCGAGAGCCTTCGGAGGTGCAATGGCTTTTGGGACGTTCTCTCGGAGCTGGAACATGGCCCCGCTTACAGCGAGGAGGAGCTGCTTTGAGTCGGGCGTGTTGACCAAGCATCGATTAAGTGAAGATATTAAGGTCTCTGCGGCCAGAGGCAACACAACCATACAGACAGACATACATGCATACCTGCATCTGGGTGTGGTGTGTACCCGTGCGCATACAGTTACAACAAACCCTGCACTCTCTGTCCCTCTTTCGTTCTCTCCCTCGATCTCTCTCTTATTCCCTCTCTTTCTCGTTATCGTTCCGTTTCTCGTTCTCGCTGTCTCTCTTTCTTTCTCCCTCTCTCTGTCTCTCTCTGTCTCTTTCTCTGAGCACCCGTTTCTGCATGGCCCACACCCATTAATTAGATACCCCGTTGCGTAGGCTACTTGTACGTAGCGAAGGCTGGGTGCGTGTTAAGTACGAACAAGTACCAGTGAACCATCGCGCTACAAAGACATGTAGCAACCTGCAGGCGCATGTCATTCAATTAACAGTGTCGGCTGTTACAGGCGGCATCTTGTCGGCCAACCTGTACGTATGCATCAGTTTGCATAAGTGTGTAAGTGTACAACCCATATAAAAGGCGTAGACATGTCTGTTTCCGCCTCGGCAGAGCGAGATGGAGACATGAACAAACACATCCAGACATGCACACAGACCGACCGACCGACCTACCTACCTACCTGCCTACCTACCTACGCAAACATACATATTTGCACACACACACGCACATTTAGCTACACAGACACGTGCACACGTACATGGGTGTAGTGTGAATGTACGGACATATGTAAGTATGTGTGTGTGTATATGTATGTATTTTCCATGTTCGTGTTTGTGTGTGTGCGCACATTGGTAAGAGTGTGTCTGTGTAAGCATTCAGGTATGTATGCATGCACGCATGTGCCTGTACGTATGTGTGTGTATAACATATATATATATA